GAGTCCCAAGAAGGCCCCAAGAGGGGCCCAAGAGAGGGAACGCGAACTGACAAATCAAGCTCTCCGCCCCAAGATGCCCCCAAGAGGCCCCCAGGAAGCCCCCAAGAGGCCCCAAGAGGCCCGCAAGAGGTCGCACGATGCGTTTTAAACTGCCCCGGAGGCCCCAAGACGCCCCAAGAGGCCTCCAAGATGCCGCCCGAGAGCACCCGGAGAGGGAAAAATCGTTGATTTGCATGTATTGTTCATTGTTTTTTGCATTCTCGCTGTTTCGTGTCTCCGGCGCTAAAGCACCACCCAAGAGGCTCCCATAACCGCTCCCAGACGGCCCAAGAGGCCCCCAAGAGGGCCCCAAGACGGCCCAAGAGAGCCCCGAGACGGTCCCAGAGCCGCCCAAAACGGCGCAAGAGAGTCCCAAGAAGGCCCCAAGAGGGACCCAAGAGAGGGAACGCGAACTGACAAATCAAGCTCTCCGCCCCAAGATGCCCTCAAGAGGCCCCAACAGGCCCCCCGGAAGCCCCCAAGAGGCCCCCAAGAGGCCCCAAGAGGCCCCCAAGAGGGCCCCAAGAAGCCCAAGAGAGCCCTGAGACGGCCCCAGAGCCGCCCAACACTGCGCAAGAGGGTCCCAAGAAGGCCCCAAGAGGGGCCCAAGAGAGGGAACGCGAACTGAAAAATCAAGCTCTCCGCCCCAAGGTGCCCCCAAGAGGCCCCCAAGAGGCCCCAAGAGGCCCCCAAGAAGCCCAAAAGAGGCCCCAAGACGGCACCCAAAAGGCTTCAAAACTCTTTCTAAGAGGCCCCCGAAGACATGCCAAGAAGGTCCCATGACGACTTCAAGAAGCAGTCCAGGATGCTCCGAGGAGGCCCCAAGAGGCCCCCAAGAGAGCCCAAGAGGCCCCCAAGAGGCCCCCAAGCGGCCTCAAGCCGCATCCAGGAGGCCGGAAAGAGGCACCCAAGAGCTCAGCGGTCCAGGCGGGGGCCGAACGAATATTTCCAGCTCTGGGCTCCCGGAAGCCCAACAGGAAGCACTAAGACTTCGACCATCCAGCCTAGCCAGAATTTGAGCGCGCGCGAAGCGGGCGCGATGGTTTTAGTTTATATACGTATACATATATATACACATATATATATATATATATATATATATATATTCAGGCGAGCATACATCTCTCTCTCTCTCTCTCTCTATATATATATATGTGTATGTACCCCGGCGGATGGACATACGATGTACGTATACATATCTGTACATCTATCTGTATGTATATATATATATACATACACGGAGGGGCCCGGCCCTGGGGCACCGGGCAATGCGGAACCAGACTCGGACACCCCAGTTTTCTTTTGACCTCTTTCAGCCCCAGACGACGCGTCGTCGAAGCCCCCCAAAGACTCCCTTACACGACTTTTGAGTCACACTATCAAATGGCGGCAGGTCCCACGACCAACCTTAAGGGAACTCCCGAGCCAACCTGGCAGTACCCAACGGCAAGTTGCAAAGATAGACCCGCGAGCGCGACTAGAACCTAAGCGCGCACGAAGCGCGCGCGTGGTTCTAGTATACATCTACATATATATACACACACACTCATTGGCGCTTCGCGCCATGCACCTTGGTTCTTGAAGTTTGGCATGCAGCCAGAATGGTAGAAAGGTCCGACAGACAGTTTAGCGATAACTTCTTGTTGCCTTTTCTTGCATCGCCGTTACATGAATGTTATTCGGTATCCTTCCTCCATGCTTCTTTTTCTTAATTCTCGCCCTACCCTGCGAATTCTCCCCCATCCTCCTCAGCTCTTTTTGCGGAGGCTCTTCCTTGGAGAGCCCATGGGGGCCTCACGGAAGTTTTTGAGGCTTCCTTCAGGCTTTCTGGAAGCCTCCTGGGCGTCTTCTGGGGGCCTCTTGGGTCTTCCTCGGGCCACCCTGTCTCCAAACGCGGTCTCCCTGAACGACTGGGTCACGATTTGGAATGTTTCGGAGAGTGTCTTGGGGCCATCTTGGGCTGTCATGGGTCTCCCGAAGGCCATCTTGGAACCCTGTTATGCCGTCTTGAGGCTCTGGTGGACTGCCTGGAAGCCTTTTCGGATGGTTTTGTTGCGATTTTCGAGCCTCCCAGGCGGTCTCGGACGCCCAGAATACTGAAGAACAAGGCATCCCCAACATTATGCAACAAAACATTGGGAAACAACAATATGTTCTGCGTTTGGGAATCTTCTTGGGGCTCTTCTTTGGGTCGTCTTCGGGCGTCTGGTGGGTGTCTGGGGCCTCTTGGGGCTCTCGGGGGGGCGTTCGGCCGCCCTCCTGACCGATTTGGGCCCATTGCCTGGGCCCAGCAAGGGCTTCCAGGAGCACTGAAACGCCTGGGGGGCCTTCTGCAGGAGCGTCCAGGGGGTCCCGGGGCCACGGATCTCGGGTGTCCAGATGCTTGGTCCACAGTGTCGGCACACCCCTCACACGTTTGGCGGCCCATCGGGAGCTCCACCGAAGGCCTTAGTGGGTGCGTCAGCAATCCTGGTCCAAACCGTTTCGGCACACCTCTCACACGCTTCGTGGCTTCATAGGGAGATCCACCGAAGGCCAAGCGGTCCACACCAAGTCGGCGCACGCCTCACAAGCTTAGTGGCCCCACAGGGAGCTCCACCGAAGGCCCCAGTCGCTGCGTCCGCATACCAGGTCTACACCATGTCCAGCGCACCCCTCACACGCTTCGTGGCCCCAGGAGGGGCTCCACCGAAGACTCAAGTGGTTGCGTTCGCATGGCTTCTCCACACCCTTTCGGCGCACCCCCCACGCGTGTCGTGGCCTCGTAGGGGGGGCTCCACCAAAGGCCTCATTTGCAGGAATCGCGTGCGTAACCACGGCCGTATCCGCACATTTCTCACACGTTTCGCGGCCCCATATGGGGGCTCCACCACGTGACCGCGCTCCACCGAACGCCGCAGTGGCAGGACTCGCATACGTGACTGCGCCCATTTCGGCACACCCCTCACACGGTTCGTGGCCCCATGGGGAGCTCCTCCGAAGGTCCCACCGCCTGCTGCCCCCCTGGGCCGCGCCGACAGACGCGCAGATCAACTGTAACGGGCTACATTCAGATGGTACTTGTTACGTCCGACCTCTGCGACCCCATCAGCAACGTCGCTCCGCCCTTCCCACGCACGCCTTAGCCCTTTTGCTAGCCCCGTCCCTTAGTTTCCACCTGTCTTGCGGTACTCGCAGCTGCATGTGGTTGGGTCCTTCGCCAGGCTAAGTATGTTATGCCGCTGTGGGTACTCGAGAAGATAGGTGTTCCCAAGCATCCTGTGGTGTTGTGTCCTCGCTTTAAAGGGACAGCGCCCTGCGTCCTCTCCTCTCGCCCCCCTCGCCTCCATATGCCATTTCGGCACACCCCTCACACGCTTTGTGGCCCCACAAGGGACTCCACAAAAGGCCCCAAAGGCTGCGTGCGCCTGCCTTCTCCATACCATGTCGGCGCACCCCATCACACGCTTCGTGGACCCACCGGGACCTCCACCTGAGGCCCCAGTGGCTGCGTTCGCATGCCTTCTCCACACGTTTCGTGGCCCTATACGGAGCTCCACCTGAGGCACCAACACGTTTCGCGGCCCCATGGGGAGGTCCACCTAAGGCACCAGCGGCTGCGTTCGCATGACTTCTCCACGCCATGTCGGCGCACCCCTCATACGCTTCGTGGCCCCATAGGGAGATCCGCCTGAGACACCACTGGCTGCGTTCGCATGTCTCCTCCGCACCATTTCGGCACACACTTCTCGCGGCCCCATGGGGAGGTTGACCTAAGGCCCCAGTGGCTGCGTGCCCATGACTTCACCACAATTTTTCGGCACACCGCTCACACGTCTGGCCCCAAAGGGAGCTCCACCTGAGGACAAAGCGGCTGCGTTCGTATTCCTGGTCCACACCACTTCTGCACACACACAACTCACACGTTTCGTGGTCCCAGAGTCCCAGAGGGATCTCCACCTAGGGTCCCAATGGTTGCGCTCGCATGCCTTCTCCACACGCTTTCGGCGCACCCCTCACACGTTTCGTGGCACCGCAGGGAGCTCCACCGGAGGCTCCACTGGCTGCGTTCTAATGCCGTCTCTACACCATGTCGGCGCAGCCCTCACGCGTCTCGTGACCCCACAGGGAGCTCCACCGAAGGCCCCGGATGCAGGAATCGGATGCGTCACCGCGCCCATTACAGGACTCTTCACACGTTTCGTGGCCTCACAGGGGGCTCCACCGAATACCCCAGTGGCAGGAATCGCATGCGTGACCGCGCAAATTTCGTCAGACTCTTCACACGCGATTCGTGGCCCCACAGGTAGCTCCACCTAAGGTCCCAGTAGCTGCGTTCTCATAATTACCCTCTCCACACCATTTCGGCGCACCCCTTCATACATTTCGCGGCCCCACGGCCCCACAGGCAGATCTACCGAAGGCCCCAGGTGCAGGAATTGCATGCGTCACCACGCCCATTCCGGCATACTCCTCACGCGTTTCGTGGCCCCACAGGGGGCTCCACCGAATGCCCCAGTGGCAGGACTCGCATACGTGACCGCGCAGATTTCGTCACGCTCCTCACACGCTTCGTGGCCTCATGAGGAGCTCCACCGAAGACCCCGCCGCCTGCTGCCCCCCTGGAACGCGCCGGCAGACGCGCAGATGTAACACGTTACGTCCGACCTCAGCGACCCCATCCCCACGCACGCCTTAGTCCTTTTGCTAGCCCCGTCCCTTTGTGGCACCTATATTGCGGTACTCGCAGCTGCATATGGTTGGGACCTTCGCCGGGCTAACTTTGATCCCCTTGCGATAACGGGCGTAATGGCTGACTCCTAGACGGCGCCAGCGCGAATCGTGACGTGACCAGGGGGGGGCGGAGCCAGTCACGGGCGTTATCGCGAAAGTCAATTTAACGGTTCTCATTCAGGTGTTTTGCTAGGGTAATATTTATTTGTCTCGTTCTGCGTCGGCTAGCGACTGGCCTTCTCCGACAGGTGCTGCCCCAGAACTTCACGCGGTCCCGCTTCGAGCTCGTGGGCGCCGTGGCGTCGCGGCCCATGCCTGCGGTCTGGCCGATGCCGAGCTGGCGCGAGAAGGAGCTGGAGGCGCTCGGCTGGGAGCAGGGGGGGGTTACAGGCAAGACTGATTCGTTCGACGCGTAAATCTGCACATGGCGCGCTCCAGACAGGGCCGCCTCGCCTTCGAGGATCGAAGGAGCTACCATCTTTTCATCGGCGGAAGGCCAGCGGAAGCCGGCGGAAGGCCTCCGACAGTAGACAGTTTTTTTCCATTGGTGACAGCGGGCGTGACCAGGGGCGCGGAGGGGGCTGGTCACGTTACGATTCGCGCCAGCGCCTTCTTGGGAATGTTTCGGAATGGTTCATTCCCACATTGTGCCGGCGCGAACCGTGACGTGACCAGGGGGCGGGCGGGGCTGGTCACGGGCATGATCGCGAATGGTAAAAAAAAGGTTCCAGGCACGACGCTGAAATTATTCGACGCGGAGTTCCTTATGTATGCATCTCATTTCCTGGCACGTCCCGCTGTGCGTGTATGGCCGCGAGTGTCTGGGTGTGGAAGCGAGCCCGAGTTGACGACGAGTACGACGACGACGGCGACGACGACGGCGGCGGCCACGCTGTGGGACAGCGGCGACGACAGCTCACAGACAGACAGGCAGGCCCCCCTTCTCCTCTCCTTCCTCTGGCTACGCGTCGTACAACTCTCCCTTGTCTTTCCTCTTATTCGGCGCTCGGCTGCGCGCAAGGGGGCGGCTACAGGCAAAACTCTGAAACGAGGACCGCTTTGAGCTCAGGGCTCAACTTTCTGGGCAGTCCTCAGATCTAGGCAGGGGAACCTCTTCATATGCGAGGTGCGCCGTGGTCAGGAAAGCCCCGTCGTTCCTCCTGCAGCGTTCCTTATGGTGGCACGATGACTGTAGATGCTCGCGGAGGAGATATTTGAGGAGGCATGTTCCAAATGATCTCGAGGCTTCTCCCGCGCCTCAGGCCTCGAGGGCTGAGGAGAGAGAGGACCGAGGCGTGGGAGAAACTTCAAACGCCTTGAGGCCTCAAGGCCTTTTGCTCCTCGCACGGGAGGGGTAAAGGTAACCATACTGCTACTTGCCCCTCGGCGCCATGGAAGGATTCGCCTCGGAATCCTGGTCAGACCGCATCCGAGGTTGATCGAACTAATGGCACGGATGCTTTTCGCCAGGGTTGGCTTTCGCCGGGCATCGTTTCGCCAGGCTTGGTTTCGCCAGGCTTGCTTGCGCCAGGGTTGGCTTTCGCCGGGTTTCGTTTCGCCGGGGTTGGCTTTCGCCGGGCTGGGCTTTCGCCAGGGTTGGTTTTGCGCCCTTCGTTTCGCCGGGGTTGGCTTTCGCTGGGGTTGGCTTTCGCCGGGGTTGGCTTTCGCCAGGGTTGGCTTTCGCCGGGCTTCGTTTCGCCAGGGTTGACTTTCGCCGGGGTTGGGCGCGGGCTCCAACGGGCGGGTCGGGTCGGGCGGGCGGACCCTACCGGGCGGGACGATCGGGTCGGGTCGGGCGGACCCTAACGGGTCGGGTCGGGTCGGGCGGGCGGGGCGCTAAAATGTGAGGCGCGCTCGAGTGAGCACGCGTGAACCATAACGGGCGGGTGGGGTCGGGCGGGCGGACCCTAAAAGGCAGGGCGGGTCGGGTCGGGTCGGGCAAACCCTAACGGGCGGGTCGGGTCGGGCAGGCGGGACACGAAAGTTTGGGGCGTGCCGGAGTGAACACGCGTGAACCCTGACGGACGGGTCGGGTCGGGCGGGCGGACCCTGACGGGCGGGTCGGGTCGGGCCGGGTCGGGCGGACCCTAACGGGCGGGTCGGGTCGGGCGGGCGGGACACTAAATGTGGGCGGGAGCACGCGTGAACCCTGACGGGCGGGTCGGGTCGGGGGCGGGCGGACCTTGACGGGCGGGACGGGGCGGGTCGGGTCGGGGACCCTAACGGGCGGGGTGGGTCGGGTCGGGCGGGCGGGGCACTAAAGTGTGAGGCGCGCTCGATCGAGCACGCGTGAACCCTGACGGGCGGGTCGGGTCGGGCGGGCGCACCCTGATGGGCGGGTGTCGGGTCGGGTCGGGCGGACCCTAACGGGTCGGGTCGGGTCGGGCGGGCGGGGCGCTAAAGTGTGAGGCGCGCTCGACCGAGCACGCGTGAACCCTGACGGGCGGGTCGGGTCGGGCGGGCGCACCCTGATGGGCGGGTGTCGGGTCGGGTCGGGCAGACCCTAACGGGCGGGTCGGGTCGGGTCCGACGGGACGCTAAAATGTGAGGCGAGCTCGAGTGAGCGCGCGTGAACCCTAACGCGGGTGGGGTCGGGCGGGCGGACCCTAAAAGGCAGGGCGGACCCTAACGGTCGGGCGGGCGGACCCTAACGGTCGGGACGGATCGGGTCAGGTCGGGCGGACCCCAACGGGCTGGTCGGGTCGGGCGGGCGGGACATTAAGGTGTGGGGCGCGCCCGAGCGAGCACGCGCGAACCATAACGGGCGGGTGGGGTAGGGCATGCGGGCCCTAACGGGCGGGACGGGTCGGGTCGGGTCGGGCGGACCCTGACGGGCGGGCCGGGTCGGGCGGGCGGAACATTAAAGTGTGGGGCGCGCCCGAGCGAGCACGCGTGACGGGCGGGTCGGGTCAGACGGGCGGACCCTAACGGGGGGGGCGCATTGGGTCGGGTCGGGCGGACCCTAACGGGTCGGGTCGGGCGGGCAGGACACTAAAGTGTGAGGCGCGCTTGAGTGAGCACGCGTGAACCCTAACAGGCAGGTCGGACGGGCGGACCTTGACGGGCGGGACGGGTCGGGTCAGGTCGGGCGGACCCTAACTGGCGGGTCGGGTCGGGCGGGCGGGGCACCACAGTGTGGGGCGCGTTCGAGTGAGCACGCGTGAACCCGAACGGGCGGGCGGTCGGACCCTAATGGGCAGGGCGGGTCGGGTCGGGTCGGGTCGGGCAGACTCAAACGGGCGGGTCGGGTCGGGCCGGCGGGACACTAAAGTGTTGGGCGCGCTCGATCGAGCACGCGTCTGGCTTTGCCAGGGGGGCACGTAGCACTGACTGACCCTGGGCCTCAGGGGGGCCTGAGAAAGGGCGGTGTGCATGTGTAGGTCTTCTAGCCGTCTGGGAAGAGGGGGGGGGGTACTACCAGTTCTGTTGCGGGATCGCAACGGAGCTCCAGCCAACCAGCCGCGGGCAAGAGGAGCCAGAGGAGGAGGGGAGGAAATGGAGCAGCAACAGCAAAAAGGACAGGAGCGGGAGGAGGAGAGGAGGAAGAGGAGGGCGAAAACGAACCCACGGGCGAAAGCAAACCCGGGCGAAAGCCATCTCGGGCGAAAGCGAACCCGGGCGAAAGTCAACCCTGGCGAAAGCCATCTCGGGCGAAAGCGAACCTGGGCGAAAGCCAACCGGGCGAAAGCGAATCCGGGCGAAACGAATCGGGTGAAAAACATCTATTCTGCGAATCCCCACATTGCCAAGGCGATTTGCGAATTGTCAGTTTTTCGGCTCTCGAGGGGGACGTTGCGGCTGTAATAAGTTTGCGGACATGCGTCGGCCGGGACTGGTCTTGGGTCGTTCTCGCCCATGTTATTCTGCAAAAGGAGGCTCTGTCCTGCCCGATACCGCTATCCGCCGTTCATCGCCACAGCCAGATTCGCCTCGGAATCTTGGTCGAAACGCACCCCAGAATGAGGTCCAGAGAGTCGCGGTGCCGGTGTTCCTTTCAAGATTGCAGACAGATCTGGTGCTTTCGGGGCAGCTTGAAGGCACTCTGGAGCATCTCACAGGCACGACACGTTCTTTCCAGAGTCCGTTCCGCCTTCGCCCCCCCCCTCCCCCCCAGGAGGTAGGGAGAGAGGGAGGGGGGGAAAGGACAAGGAGGAGGAGGAGAGACGAGGAGGACAACTCAGGTGCGCTCGCATCACATCTGACATCCTACCGCTCTAGCGCATCCCTTCCCATTGCGTTGAACCAGTTCCCATCCGCCGACCTGGATGTGGACATTGATGCCCAAATGGCAGTATCTGACCCGTCGATTGCCGTGCAGTTGGGAAGGGGGGCTTCTGGACAAGGAGGAGAGGAGAAGGAGGATGATGACGAGGAGGAGGAGGAGGAGGAGGAGGAGGAGGAGGAGTAGAGGATACTAGTTAAGGAGCACGAAGACGAATGAGCAGCAGCCGGCAAAGAGAGAATGATCAGGAAGGATTTTGGGTTTCACGCCCATCGCGGCCGAGACGACGGTGATGCAATGCAGGGTGGCCGGCGGCACCTAGTCCGCGTAGTATCACGGTGCGCACGTGTCCGCCAGCAGTGTCTTAGCAGGAGCAAAAAGAGCAGGGGGGGCAGGGTGATCAAGGGAAGGCGGTGGAGGGGAATGGAGGAGGGGCAGGGCCCGCGCTGGGCCCGGAGCGCCATTCTGAACGGCGGGCGCAAGACACGGTCCTTCACGTGGTCAACGTTGCAGCGGGGGCGCCTTTTTCGAAGGACCGAAATCGTTCCGATCGAAAAAGACATACCCAGCTGCCTGCGGCAAGCCCCGCCACTGTGCCTGTGCAACAGCGCGGCAGGGAGGAGAAGTGGGAGGAGGAGGATTGGAAGGCGACATCGGTACCGACCTTCACGCGATCAGCTCACAACAACAACAGGAGGAGGAGGAGGAGGAATAGGAAGAGGAAGAGACGGAGACAACGAAAACAAGAAGAAGAAGAAGAAGAAGAAGAAGAAGGCCTCTTTTGGACTCGTTTGGGGCCGCCTGGGAGTTTCCTGGGAGCCTCCTGGGGGCCAGCCGCTTGGGTGCCTTTTGGCCCATTGGGGCCTTTTGGGGCTTCTTGGGCGCCTCTTGGCGGTTGGGCCACCTTAGGGGGCCTTTGGCCCGTCCCACGCCGTCGGAGGCCGTCTTGGGGGCCTTTTCGGGCATTCTTGGTGCCTTATGGAGCGCTTTAGGGCTGTTTTGGGACTCTCGTGGGATGCTCTTAGACGATCTTGGGGTCCTCCTGGGCCGACTTGGGGCCCTCTTTGAGGGGCCGCATGGCCTTTCTTGGAGCTATCCTGGAGGCATCTTGAGCGGTCGGAAACCCAAAGGGGGTGAGAACTTCAACATCCATCAAAAACCGATGGAGTATCTAGATTGCTCGCCCCCTCGGGTTCTCTTGGGGGCCTCGCGGAGCCTTCTCGGGCCCTTTTGGAAGCCTCTCGAGCCGTCTTGAGGCCGTTAGGGGGGCCTCCAATGCCGTGTTGTGCCATTTGGGGCCGTCCTGGTGTCATCTGGGCTTTCTCAGAAGCAGTCTCTGGAGCCTCTTAGCCTCTTGGGCCGTCTTGAGGCCGAACAGAACGCCCGAGCGACAATTCAGAAGGGGGGCGATGTCTCAGGGGTCCGCGCGACCAGGGGGAAGAGTCGGCCCTAGAAAGATGAACGACGCCTCCCAGACAACAGAGCAGGCACCGTGGCGGATCACACATCAAGTGTTGAAATCTTGCGTGCGGGAATTCAAATGCGGAAACCGCGGGAGTACGCGCGCACATTGTCAGAAGAGAGAGGATAATAGCACTCGAACTGTGCAATCGTGGAGGAGGAGGAGGAGGAGGAGGAGGAGGTGCGAGGCGAACCTTGCCCGCACACCCGCCAGATAATCGCTGAATAAGGAGTGGCACTACCTTGCGCAGCCCCTTCGCACTGCCGAAATCCTGCGTGCGCGCGGAGGCTCCTCTGCAGGGTAGTCGCCTTGCCTTTTGCTGAAGCGCCACCTGCCTCTGGGCTGACGGGCCGTGCAGTGGCGTATGCTTTTTTGTTTGGCGCCGCCCGCATCTGTACCGCTGTCCATGCGGTGGCGCAAGCGGCATATGCGGCCAGAACCCTTCTGTCAGCCTTGATGTTGTAAAGGAGGAAGTGCGAGGCGAATCAAGCCACGGACCACGCCGAGCACTTGGTAACTCACCCGCGCGAGCGGTCTGGGCCCGCACAGGATTTGCCTCCCTAGGCCTGGAGTCACCAGCGCGGCACGCGGAAGAAGACGGCTGAGGAGAATGGGGAGGAGGGAGAGGGAGAGGAGGAGGAGGAGGAAAAGTAGCAGGAGGAGGATGAGGAGATGGAGGAGGGAAAACAGGCTGAGGAGGAGGAGGAGGGATGGGGGGAGGAGGTGGATGGAGAAGGGGGAAGGGAGGGGACGACGCGGATGTTCGCCCGCCCGAGCCCGAGGTGTACCCTTGCGGCGAGGGCCAGGTGGTGAACGTGAGCCTCGGCGGATCAGGAGCCGCCGTGTACGCGTGCCAGAGCTGCGAGCGAGGCGACTGGGAGACCTCCCCCCTGGCGAGACCGCAGGTCCGATCCCCCCCCATTTTCGGAGGAGGACCAGTCGAGACAAGGCGTCGGCGATGAAGATTTTGAGCTGATCTCGACATGCGAATGCAGCCGACGCTCGCGAGTTGCCCGCATTGTATTATTTGACAAGGATGTTCCCCCAGCAGGCGCGCAAGGGCGTTCCAATGACTTCGACATGCGCGCCCGAGAGGCCCGCGTTGCGTTGTCGCGCTTTGTAAAAACTGTTAAAGTGGTCATCATGAAGATTTGCCAGGGTTTGTTATGGGGGTGGGTGGACATCATGTTGCAAAGCAATTGATTTTCACACGGTTTCAGGAACCTCCTGTCTTGGAATCCTTACGGGACCTATAGTTTGTTGTTGTGAAGTTCGGCATGCGCGCGCGATGACGCGCGTGTGTGGACTGCGCACCATGTGTTGCAATGTGTTTTTTGGAGACTGGTGATGCGCGCGCGCATAAGATCATGTGACGAGGGTGTGGGGTGGGGGGCGTTAAAAGGGTCCCCCCTTGGATGGTACGGGTTCACATGTCAATTGAACGAGCGATGCAGAATCGTATGTAAGCTGCAGTGCCCCAGGGGGCGGCGATAATTCCGACGGGAGGGGGTTGATCCTGTTTTTTTCCCACATCCAAAGTGGGGTTGTTGTTTTCTCTGCACGCCGCGCAGGATCTCACCCCCCCCTTTCTTCTCTTTCTCTCTCACACACACTCACCATCATCACCAGCATCATCACCATCAACCACCATCATCGTCAGCACACGCGCACACTCATCATCATTACCATCATCATCACCATCAACCACCATCACCGTCATCACTACTCATCATCATAACCCTTCATCGCTACTCATCATGATGATCCTCATCATCATCATCGTCACCATCATCACCACTCGATCACCCACTCACTCACTCAATGACTCACTCATCATCAGTAGGCTTCGGAGGCAGTGGTCCTCCGACGGTAGGACCGCCGCCACTCAACATCATCGTCACCATTTCCATCATAATCTCTCGACCGCCGATTCAGTGGCCATCATGGTCATCATCCGTATCATCATCACTCATTCATCAAACATCATCATCATCATCATTCACTCACTCATCATTTCGTCATCACTCACTTTTTGGCTTGAGTATGGAGGTAGTATCTGGCGGGAGCCTCGTCTGTGAGTGAACTGCGACGAAGTCTCAGGCGGGAAGCCTCTCCCTATGGGGCCCGCACGTCATGTTTTTAATCCGAGGCGGGTCATCCGAAACGTGTAATTGTCGTAACTTTTGGGCCCCTGTGGCGAGAATCTGGAGGAGGTATCAAGCGGGAGCCTCGTCTGTGAGTGAATTGCGACGAAGTCTCAGGCGGGAAACCTCTCCCTATGGGGCCCGCGACTCATGTTTTTAATCCGAGGCGGGCCATCCGAAACGTGTAACTGTCGTCACTTTTGGGCCCCTGCGGCGTGAATCTGGAGGAAATATCAAGCGGGAGCTTCGTCTGTGAGTGAATTGCGACGAAGTCTCAGGCGGGAAGCCTCTCCCTATGGGGCCCGCACCTCATGTTTTTAATCCGAGGCGGGTCATCCGAAACGTGTAACTGTCGTCACTTTTGGGCCCCTGAGGCGTGAATTCGGAAGAAATATCAAGCGGGAACCTCGTTTGTGAGTGACTTGCGACGAAGTCTCAGGCGGGAAGCCTCTCCCGGTGGGGCCCGCAGTTCATGTTTCGAATTCGAAGCGGGTCATCCGAAACGTGTAACCGTCGTCACTTTTGGCCTCTGGAGGGCGAATGAGGAGGATGTATCAGACGGGGGCCTCGACTGTGAGTGACTCGCGAGGAAGTCACAGGCGGGAGCCCGCCGGTCTGTCCCCGCGGGAGTCCCCGCGCTGAGCCAGCTCGAAGCATGCGAGCTGGAGATGAGGCGCAGGAGGAGGAGGAGGAGGAGGAGGAGGAGGAGGAGGAGGAGGAGGAGGAGGAGGAGGAGGAGGAGGAGGAGGAGGAAGACGAGGAACAGGAATTGAGAAAGACGACGGCGGCCGGGCGCAGGGGGAAACCCTTGCGTCTGGGCCGGGGGTGGTAACCCATCCTCGGCCACAGCGGCGGCCGGGCGCAGGGGGAAACCCTTTCGTCCGGGCCGGGGGTGGTAACCCATCCTCGGCCGAATCGGGTGCAGGTGTAACCCCTTGTCTCTGGGCCGCCAGTGGTAACCCATCGGCGGCCGAATCGGGCGCAGGGGTAGCCCCTGGCGTCCGGGCCGGGGGCGGTAACCCATCCTCGGCCGAATCGGGGGCAGGGGTAACCCCTTGTCTCCGGGCTGGCGGTGGTAACCCATCGTCAGCCGACTCGGGCGCAGGGGGGAAGGCGTCACTGCGGAAGGCGCTCCAGGAGTTCGACAAGAGAGCGGTGGACTCCAGGGCTGAGGCGGAGCAGCTCGCGGCAGAGCTGGGCTTCGTGCTGCCACCCGCCTAAGTGCCGCGGCGCGCACCTGGAGGCCCGCGGGGTTGTCCCAACGGCCGGCTCCCGCACCCCTGCGGCCTGCGAGGTTGTCCCAACGGCCTGGCCCGAAGGGTTGTCCCGACGGCTTCGCGATCTAGCCGTCGGCAAACGCGCGCGCGCTGGCCGACGCGGCGACGGCGCCGAGGAAAATCGAGTTGTTTGCCACGACCAGGGGAAGCGGGAGGTGCACATGGAGAAAAGGCAGGAGGATGAGGAGGGAAGGGGCATGGGGGAGGGCGACGACGAGGAGGAGGTGCCGCGAGAGGAGGAGGAGGAGGAGGAGGAGAAGGAGGAAGAGAAATAGAAGGAGGAAGAGAGGGCAGCGCAGAGGGCGAGAGGAGAGGATGTCCGCCAGGGGGAGGAGGAAAGGGCAAAGGGTGAGCTAAACAGGTTTTCATGCGGGGTCCGACCGTCGCAGTAATTCGTTTCTAATGAGCAGATATGCGATGCAACCTTTGTGATGCAATACATGCGGTGCAAGTCGCCCTGCCGAACTTCAGGTTGTCAGCTCCATTGCTCGAGCAACCATCCCACCCACCCACCCGCAACTTGATTTGCAGAACCCAGGCGACGGCGATCGCGGTGACTGCTCGGCGCTGGCTTGCGCATCGCTGCGGCCGCGCTGGCTAGCTTGGCGCGGCCGAAGCGGCCGCGGTGGCGCTGACTGCGTGGGACTTCCCATCGCGCCTCGCAGGCCGCGCTGACGCGCGGGCCTTCGGTGCGAGTCGGCGGCTCGGGCGGGCGCGGTATCATGGTCACATCGACCACGGCAGGCATGATGATAGTAGCGACGCCGCTCGCGACAGTGACAGTGACGACGGCAAGGCCAATGACTGCGCCAATGCTGATACCGCCGATGACGATGATGGCGTCCACGCGTCAATGACGCAAGTGTTGTATAGATTTTGACATGCATGGGCGGCGGACAGGCATGAGTGGCTCGCAATGTGTTGTTTGACAGGGACCATCCCCCCCCCAGGACGCACACAAAGGATTTCGAAGGATTGCCAAATGCGCGCGGGAGTCCAGCTTGGTCGCATGTGACGGGGATTCAAAAAAGGATTTCGCAAAATTAACATGAGCGCGCGCGCTATTTGTTTGAAGAACCAGGTAGCAAATCAAATCGTTTTTATATAAGAAAATTGCGATGCACCCCCCGCACTTCCCGATACATAATAGTGACGGGGCGAGCGCGTGGTGGGTCGCGGGCGGGTCACGGGGTGGGTCGCGGGTGGGCCGATGCTCTAACGGATTCCTCGGTGCTGCTGACTTGCGATCAAATATCTAACGAAACAGCCGTTCTGGCACCCGCGAGTAGCAGCAATAATGCCCTGACAAACCTTTTTGTGGTGCTGAATTGCGAAGCAGGGGCAAGCCAAAACGCAGTTTTGGCATCCGCGACTAGCAATAGGTTAGTTATGCAAGACCCACTTGTGGTGTTTAAGTGTGTGGGCGTCTCAAGATATACCGCGTTTCCGGCATCGCAAGTAGCGGGACAATTGCTCTGAAGGACCGCCTTGTGGTGCTAAATTGCGAGGGCGTCTCAAGCGTGAGCGCCCTTTCTGAGGTTCGGGCCCTCACTGGCCAGGGCCCCTCGGAGCAATATGTCAGGATACACTGCCGCTACTCGCGGGTGCTGGATCGGCTTTCTCGTTTGAGATATGCTTCGCAATTCAGCACAACACGGGGGTCCGTAAGAGCATAATTGCTGCTATTCGCGGGTGCAGGAACGGCCGTTTCGCTGGAGATCCCCGTGCAAATTAGCAGCATTGGGAAATTCATGAACAAAAAGTTTTGCCGCCTTCATTTGGTCGGCGGGGAGGCCCCAAGACACTTTAGGGACATGTGTTCGGGGATCGTTTTTCGCCCCCCCCGCCCCCTGTAGGCCCCAGGAAGCAAGTTCCTGCATTGGGATGTATATTCGGGGAGCGCTTTTCGGCCCCTCCGCTTTCCGGAGGCTCCAGGAAGGCCCAGGAGGCATTTCTCTGTACTGGGATATGTGTTCGGGGAGCGCTAATGGTCCTCCGCCCGAAACTGGCTCCAGAACGCCCCAACAGGCCCAGGAGACACACGTTTGGGCAGCTGTGTTCGGGGGTGATTTTCGGCCCCACGTAGGCTTCGCCCCCCATCGGCTTCGCCGCCCGTCTCCCGTTGTTCGAATCCTGTGTGTGCGTGTGTGTTTGTGTTCGTGTTTGTGTGTGCGTTTCGCGTGTCCTTTTAGATTGCCCTTCTCCTGGGGCTCGATTCCTGTGTGTTTACGCATGTTCCTATGTATTGCCCCTCGGCTGACATATGTTCCTGTAGTTTGCCCAATTTGCCCCCCTTTCCTGGGGCTTGGCTCGACCTCCTTGGGCGGCAGATATGGGTGTGGAAATATCGTCCCCTCTTTTCCATAGAGTTCCCCCAAGAGGGGGTGGCATCATGATTGGCGCATGCGGCTTGTAGAAGCACGGTGCATGAGTGTAAAAGCATCGAATT